TGGACCTGGGGAACTCGACCCCTCTATCGTTCACAAGGGCTGAGAGGGTCACCCGGTAGAGACCCGACCGGTCTTTGGACGTAGACCCAATCCATCAGAGCCCGACTGGGTCCTCGGCATGGACCCGATCAGTCGGGAACCGTGGGTAGTTGTTCCCTTTGTTCCCGCGCCCTCGAGATAATAACGGTTAGGAAAATCCCGCTATCATCGGGGACCAAGAGGCCCACTAACGACAAGCAATAAAACTCAAAACCCTAGAGTTGAGGCGGCAGATTACACTTTTGAATGCTCTAGCTTTGCGGTTTGACCTGGAGGAAACCCTAGTTCATCCCGTGGCTGGAACATTTTGGCGCCCATCGTGGGGCTACGGTAAAACTCTTCCTACGCCCCAAGTCCCAGAGAAGAATCGGCGATCTACCATGGCAAAAGGCGGCAACAACAACAATAGCGCACGTTGGAGATATTGGATGGACACTTATTGAAACTTGATTTTGATTCGGATTCTTGTTTATAATTTTGGTTCAATTGTGCTTGGTGCTTTCTGAGTTGTTTTGGGCAGTGATATATGGTTGGTTACTATGGTAGGCAGGTCTGGTTCTAGTCTTGGTGTTGACTTGATTTGCTGGTTGGTTTTGGATAATGCAATAAATCTCGATGACTTCTAATTAGTAATTAGGACTTGCTTTATCTTTGCTCTTTGTTCAAGTATTTTTTATTTTGCAACTAGACATTTTGTACCTTTGTACGTTTTCTTTTACTTTTAATTTTCTGTACTTCTTTTGTGGGTTAGATCTGGTCCCCTCACTGCTTAATAAATGGCATGTTGTCTTTCCAAAAAAAAAATAGCCAAAAAAGAATCATTAAAACATTGTATATCTTTGATTCCCAATTTCCCATTATTTTTGGGCAACAATTTTTTTTTTCATTTCATCTATGATATTTTCTTTCTCCCTTCTTCCAACCCCCACAAGAATCTTCTTTAAATGGTCTCTATCTTCCTTACCTAACTCTAGGCATTTTAAAAAATGATAGAAAGAACAATGGTGTAGCACAAATAACAGAGTTGATCAAACATATTCTACCAGTCATAAAGGTTATTTCATACTTCCTAGATGATAACTTCTTATTGAATTTGGCAATAAATGACCTCCATGTTTATTCCTTTCTTAGGTTGGCTCCAACTAGGATTCCCAAATATGTGAATGGTAGGGACATTAATTTGCTGTTTAGCAAAGCAGCATACCTTTCTAAGACAATTTTTTCCACCCTAATTACCCCAAAATGACTCTTGAAAAAATTCACTGTCTATCCCGAACACAATTCAAAGCATCACAAAATACACTTAATACACTTAATAGTGGTAACATTACTTAGTGTTGCCTCACCCATAAACACTATAGCATTAGCATATTGCAATAAACTAACCTCGACCTGTTCTATTCCAACTACATAACCAATATATAAGCCCTTATCCACCGCTGCTTTCATCATACCACTAAGTCCTTCTAAAACAAAATTATATTGAAGAGAAAAAGGGTTAGGGGATCCCTTTGTCTCAACCTCTTTTATAGTTTGAATTCTTTTGTCAGGTTAATTACCATTAACCAATACTAATACATAACCTATAACTAAACACTCATAAATCCAAAAAGGTATACGAAGGACAGTTTGGAAAGCTCTGACATGAAGATTATTGGCCTACTTACATTGGTCCAACTTTGTGGCCAAATCCAGAACTCAAGCGAATTTTCAAGGGTCGGCCAAAGTCCAGCAGGATTAAAACAGAAATGAACATTAAAGAACAACATAATCAGTTTCTGCCACCATTGATCTTTATTGTTGTATTGAATTTTAATAAATTTATTTAAATATATTTATAATGTTAATATTCAATAAATTTAGTTATTTGATGTTAGTTTCGAAGTTTTGGTATTTGATAAGTGAAAATCGAAAAAAAAATTATTTGTAGGTCAGAACGGCCGTTCTGGTTCTACTTTTTATGTGCTAATTTTGATTTTGGAACGGCCCGTTCTGATTTGTTTTTCATGTGTTATTTTTTAATTCGGAATGGCCCTTTCTAATTTCAGAATGGCCCGTTTCGAAACGTGAACAGTAAATGGTGCTAGTTGGATAAATAAATTTGCACAGTTACTATTTGGGTAAAAAAATTTAAAAGTATTATTTGAGTAAAAAAAACTCGAAAAATGAGACAAGGATGACGTTATTCGACTCTACAGTAATACATCATAACTTCGCTAACTTAGGTCAGTTTCTAAAACATTTTACCAAAATAAAGTTGTTTTAAAACAACTTCTCACTGTAAGATAGTTAACACAATCTCATCCGTATTATGTATTTTTTCATAAAAGTGAATTGTTTCATTCCATGGTTTATAGCATCAAACACTTGATGTCAGATCTTGTTGCATCTCTTACATGGAAGTTGTCAGATCTTGTTGCATCTCTTACATGGAAGTTGCATATAGGGGTGGGTAAACGGACAAGTCCGACCCGTTTAAGGTCTGGTCCGTAAAACTCGCATTTTATACGGGCCAGATAAGTTCGGTCCGTAAAATAAATGGACTTATTTTTTAAGTTCGTATCTAGCCCGCCAAAATTCGCAGATAACAAACCGGTCCACCGGCCTAAATAATGGTTCAAAAAAATAAAATTTTAAAAAATAAAAATACATAAAATTAGAAGAAAAAAATATTTTTTTTATTTATATAAGCTAAATTTTATCATACTAAAATTTATCAATAGTTAAAATGGTTTAAAATACTAAATATTAAAATATTAAAATAAAAATAATTATAAATACTTAAATAATAGTACCAAACTTTCAATAATAAAAGCATCAAAATGTCATAAAAGTCATAAAAATAATTCAAATGACAAATACATACCAACTAAACATAATTTTAATGTCATAATAATTTAAAAAATTAAATACACAACTTAATATTAAAATCACAATATTTAAAAATATTAATTAGTGAAGTCCGCAGACTAGCCCGCGAACCCGCAGATTAAATCCATCAAGTCCGCAGACTTCACGGGCCGGGCTAAAAAATTAAACATAGTCATACGAATTTGAAAGAAACAGGTCCGTTATCCACGAAATTCGCGGGCTTACAACTGGTCCGCGGACCCGAGTCCATCTACCCACCCCTAGTTGCATACAACACCACAACTTCAAAAAAAAGAAAATATATATATATTTTGAGCTTTACATACATGGGAGTATACAAAATGATAATTTTTTTTATTGTTAAAAAATGAGAACTATAAATATGTATGTATATTGGAATTAAGAGATAGGATTTTTATTATGATAGAATGTGGTAGGAGTAAATATTACCCTTAGAATAAAATTATAAAAAGTTAAGATAAATCACAATTCAAATGGCTTAAGTGATCATGTAACTATTAAATAAATTTTAATCCTAAGCATTCATGTATACTTATAAGATAAAGATTATTTCTATCTTCTTATACAAATACTGAACTAAAAAAATTTAGTTTTATATATTCAGTCAAGTTATTAATGTTTTTTTGTTAAAAGTTATTTTTTTCCTTAAAATTTATTTTAAAGTAAAACATTAAAATAATAACATGAAAAATTAAATAGAAATTGTTTGTCGGCTTTAACTTCATAACTTCATATATATATATATATATATATATATAAGTTATGAACCACAAATAATGATGTCAATTGAATGAGGATGTATATATGAGTATAGTAGTCCTGCTACCCACCCCACTAGATAAATATTTGCTCTATATATACCCATAGACAGAAAATAGGAGCAAACAAAAAAATGGAATGAAAGTATATTGCTTTCTTATTCTTATTATTTATAGATGCAATTCTAACTGATTTCACTCCTAAATGTGTGGTCTAATTATGATAGAGATATGTTATATATAATATTTGATTCTATCATACTGGGATTGCCTCATTTACGAGATTGTTGCCACATTTACAAATATATTGCACCATTTATGGTTCTAAATCAATTAAGGATTCCTTATCCTTTAACTCCCCTTCCTCTTAAACTTAGGGGTGTTGCAATCACTCTATTTTTGTCTCAAAGTCGATTAAATTGAGTATGAGTGAGAAGCTTAGTAAGACAATCAACAATTTGATTTGTTGATGGAACATAGACAGCTATAATCTGGTTCTTCAGTACCTTATCTCGAATAAAGTGTACATCCACCTCAATATGTGTTGATCTTGCATGTGCATTATTGGGTTGGAAGCAAGTGCTTTGGCACTTAAGTTGTCACATCACAATGTTGAGTTCTTGGTATGGACAATTTAATCTCTTGCAATAATGATTTTATCCAAGAGATTTCTACTACTAAGTCATCCAGTGCCAGTACTCTGATTTGGTGCTAGACCTTGACACTATACCTTTTGCTTTCTAGATGACCAAGAGATTAGTGTTTCCCCCAAGTAGACACAAAAATTGGCTATTAATTTTCTATCATCAAGACTGGTTGCCCAATCAACATTTGAGAATCCAGTGAGGTCAAGATCAATAGTTGGTTTGATGTGCAAGCAAAAGTTTTGAGTGCCTTACAAGTATCTAAGTACTTTTTTTACACCTTGCCAATGTAATATTGTGGGAGAGCTCAATTAGTAGTTCAAATTTTATGAGTTAAGTTAAATTAATTGAAAACTGAAATTTTAGTTATAAATTGTCAATTGAAAGTTAAAGTCATTAATTTAGTTTATTGGGTTCCAAGTGTTAAGTTACATTAAATTAATTAATTGTCAATTTAAAAAAAATGAAATGCACATATGAATTATATTTTAATATCTTTTAAAATTATTATTTACTAATTTGAATATAATTATTATATATAAGTATAATCTTAAATCAATTAAAATGTTTTTCATAGATCGTTATTGGTTATATGTTGTAAATAAATTTTACCTTTAATTTCCAACAAACAAATAATTTTCTTTTAACGTGTAATGATCCTCCCTCACAAATTTTAAAGCAATGGTACGATAATTAGATTAGAAACCATATATGGTAACCAAAACTGTGTCCGTGGATTGGACTTGTCGTTTACTAAACTTAAGACATTATCAGATTTTCAATTTTAGATACTAATTATATCTAAATATAGTTGAGTCGTTTAAAAAAAAAAGAAAAGAAAAAAAAGGGGGTGTTTCTCATGTTTTCTTCTTCAGTTTTCCTCAACACAATATTCCTTCTTCCCGTTGGGAAACATCTTTAACCTCATATGCATTAGACATCAATTTGAATAGGCCCTCTGAAGTATTGTCATTTCACGACACACTTAACATTCATATGCATATTAAGCATCCCAATCACAATTGCACCACCAATATTGTGATTGGGAAGCTACCATCATCATCACGTTTGGCCATAATTTTGAAATTGACATAATGATCCGTCTCAACGTTAAACTCCTTTCATCTCTTCTTTTAACTTTTGTTGTTGTTTCATGGACCTTGTTTTCTCCCTGCCATGCAAATAATTACGCGTTTATGGAAGGTTTGATTTTATTAAGAGAGAAATTACGTACTTTCTAATTTTATATTTTGTTCTTTAAAAGGGATTTTGATTCATTATTATTTGAGAGATTGAATCTTAATTACTTTCTCTTTCCTCTTATGTAACATTCTAGGTGTTTTCTAAATGATGACTATGGTTAATTAATATGAGAAATGTTTTGTTTATTATAGGATTCACAAAGAGATCACCAAGCAATGCAAATATTTCAATATTAACATTAGCAGCAGAAAGAACGCGCAGGATGGACCCTAGTAATGATTTCAAGTACTATGATGGTGGATGGGATATAACCAATTCGCATTATATTCTGGTATGAACCTCTTGTTTTTAAAACCACATGTATTTTGATTTCCCCATACATTGATGTTTTTGACAAGCATAGAACATGTACATTTCTGCATAATATATATATTAAGAATCTTCATATATATAACAAAAGTACTTTTAAGACTTTAGATAAATAATCAATAAATAAATAGGCAAACGTACATATATAGATTAGATTTCTCACACGTTGTAAAACTTTTATATATGTTATTACATTTAGTCTTCCCATAATTTTTTTCTCCTTGATGAAGTTATAAATCTTATAATTCACTTCTTACAAAATTGGTTGGGGTGTAGTCTGTTGCTTTTTCTGGTGCTCCTTTCGTGGCCATTGGTGTCCTATGGTTTGTGATTGTGGCATTATGCTTCACCATCATAATTTGTGTGTGTTGCTGTTGTTGCCGCAAGAGAAAGTCTAGGACAGATTACTCTCGAAAGACTTACACAATATCATTCATATTCCTCTCACTCTTCTTGATCATGACAATGTAAGTCATCTTTTCCTTCCCATTATAAGTGTGAATCCATGCATGATAGTGTTGACTTCTACAATGCAGGATTGGAGGGACTTTTCTTTACAATGGACTGGAGAAATTCCAGGTTACTGCAAGGGATGTATCAGATATTCTGGTCTCAAGAGCAAATACAGTAGTTGATGTTATTCATAAGGTATTGGTCGATCTTGCAGCGGCTAAGAACATACAAGTGTCTAGTTTTGCTCTTCCATACGAGATCAAGCAAGGCATTGAAACGGCCGAACAATTTACCAATCAAACTGATTTTATTAAAAGTCAAGCAGAGGAAACGGCTAGAATCTCAATTGAACTCTTGGATGCTGTGTGAGTGAATCCTACTTTTTGTTGAGAAATGTTAGTAATATATATACACTTATGGAAGTCGATCAAGTGCCTCAAAGATATATTTTTGTTAGGGTCAAAATAATGTTTATTAGCAAAAATTATATTCTACAAATATAAATTAATCATTAATTGTTAACTTAAAAACACTATATGAATTATGTCTGTGGACCAAAAAAATAATACCCTATTTGACATATTCTTATGAACAAATCTTCTATTATTAGTTGAAATTAGAAGTTACACATATTTGAGGATTCCTTTTCTTATTTAATGAGTTTCCATTTCGGTGTTTGCGAAAATTTTTAGAAAAAGTGTTTTAAAGATGTGTCGCTAGCATTTGTTTATTGTGAAGCTTGGGTTAAGGAATTGGATTCATCTCACTAAACTAATGTTTTGTCAACTCCAGAAGTTACAGTCTTATCATTGTTGGCACTATGATGCTTTTCTTGACAACAATTGGCTTTAGTAAGTATAAAAAGTCCTACATGATTATTTCCTCCGGTAAAAGAATGCATTTGACTCACAACGTACTGTCTCAATTGCAGTAATCTCAATATTTGGCTGGAGAGTGATCGTTTATATGTAGGTGACTTGGTTCCATCTATTCTTAATTTTGTTCTTGAATTAATTGTCTGATTTTTTAAATTCTCAATTTCCCCCTAGTTTTCTCCTTTGCTTTTGTGATTTTTTTTTTAATTCTTTTCCAAATAATTTCTGCAGGTTGCTTTTCATTGGGTGGATCCTTGTTACATGCACTTATATATTGAGCGGCGTAACTTTGATTGTTCACAAGTAAGTTCCATCGATTAATATCATTGCACAAAAGCATGCTTTATCTTAATTTGTATGCTTCCAAGTGTAGGGCTACAAGGTAACATTACTTTTCAAAATCACTTGATGTTCTTGAAAATTTTTATGCAGCTATATATTGACAAACACTTTGATTAAAGCCGTTAACCATATTATGACATGATGTTGTTTATTGTCGATTTAAATTGTATACTTACCAAAATGTTAAATGAGCATTAGTAGATAAGTTAGTTTTAGATGTTCGAACTTTAAATCAATTTGGATTAGTATAAATGACGACAAATTCATATTACTTAATTAATTCACTAGGGTTCAAGTCCTTGTTTTTTAGAACGTAAAAATATCAAGTAGGAAAAGGATGTTCACCTATATGATATGTGTAAAACTCTTGAGTTCCCGGATAATGAAAAAAAAATGATGAAACTTAACTAAATTTCTATAAAACTTGAAGAAGTGTAGTTGATTGGTTTCATTTTACCTTCCAGTGGAGTAGCTGACACATGTGTTGCAATGGAAGAATGGGTTGAACACCCACTAAATCATACAGCTCTAGGCAAACTTCTCCCATGCATGGATGAGAACGCAGCACAAAAAACCTTGGACATAACCAAAAACACCTCATCTCAAGTGGTCACTTTGGTTAATGCATTTCTAACTAATGTGGCCAACAAAGATATGCGTCCTCAACAAGATAGGGATATATACTACAATCAATCGGGTCCATCTATACCCCTCCTGTGCAATCCATTTTACCCTAACATGACTGAACGGCCATGTGCTGCATTAGAAGTAGACTTAAAGGGTGCACAAACAGTAAGTTTATACTTCATTATTAACCTTTACATGTTTTTTGTTTTAGTATCATGCAAGAGGATTTGACTCCTTTTTTATTTTAAAAAATAAAATATAATTATAATTATTAATTAAAAAATTAAAAAATTAACGATAGATACTATAATTAATTTTAAATTTTATTATACATAAATTTGATTTTATTATAATATATTTCATCATCGATTTTTCAATTAACAATATTATTATCACACTTCATCATCTAAAATTCACATTTTATTTGAGGGGTCAAATCTCATGTAAGATTTAGAAAATATATAAAGTATTACTTTATATATACTTATTAAAACTTTCGGTGCATTGTTGATTCATCTCACATATCAAATTTTTGCACAAAGTGTTTTTTGGATTGTTACAAAAAGAGTAAATATAGCACAAGTTGTGTCTCGTAAAGAATTTTCACATCATCCTCCAATCACAATATGTTATATACAATAAGTTTGTTAGTGTACTTTTATAATATATATATATATATATATATATAGGGAGCGTATCAAGTGAGAAGTTTTTATTGTGAGAAGGTGAGAAGGTAGAAATATAACCCTTAGATTAATTTTCTCTCACTTGATTAAATCTCAAATTTTCTCTCACTTGATTAATCTAAGGGTTATATTTCCACCTTCTCACCTTCTCACAATAAAAACTTCTCACTTGATACGCTCCTTATATATATATATTTATTTAATGTCAATGATAGTTTTTAATAAATTGATTGACAAATGATATAACATATAAATTAGAATATATTATATTAATATCTTATCAAATTACATGAAATTGTATTGACACTCTTGATTTTCAACGGTTATAGTAACTTTCTTTATAATGAGTCACAATGCAATAGCTATTGTTAGAGCAAAAAAGTAGGAATCTTTATCCATTCTCAAGAAACTTCATCAGCGTAATTTACTCTAGAAATTATATTCAACAAATTCCTCCCTTCTCTTCATCTGCTAAACAATATTTATGTTTAATTCGAGTATGATATAGGTAACTATGATGGTTTTTAATTAATTGGCAGGCCTATGAAAATTTTATATGTGATACATCTCCAACTGGTGTTTGCATGAGCATGGGGAGATTGACTCCTTCCCTCTACTCAAAGGTTATGGTGGCTACCAACTTAAGTGACACACTACGTCTAAATGGTCCACTCTTGGCTCGTTTAGTGGATTGTTCCTTTGTTGTGGACACATTTGATGAAATAAGTAAGACAGATTGTCCACCATTTAGGCGATACAGCAATCAAGTCTTCATTTGCTTGGTGTTGGTTTCAGTTGCAGTTATGTTTTCTGTGATTTTGTGGGTAATTTTTGTCAGAGAAAGAAGACTTCAAATATCTTCAAAGAGTTTGAAGAGAACACACGTTCATGGGATGTAGTTTTTCCAATATGCAATTCTAGGTTTTTTTTCCTCATAAACATAATTTACATAATATTTTAAAACTAATAATTAAGAATTATCCTGCAACATGGCATGACTTTAACGAGTAAAGTGTATGAATCTTTTTAAGTATTGGGAAGAATATAAGTGATAAATTTACTATGATTACAAATCATTCCAATTATGATGTGATGACTCCTCCAAAGGCATTTTATACTTTCTTTATAAAGTGTACTAATTAATTTTAACAGTTATAATTGATATGTATTACAATTACAAATCATTTAAAAAGAAAGGCAACCGGGAAGTTGAAAAAAAATAATAAAAAAATTCCCACTTCCAGTTGCATGTTCTCTTTCTCTCCTTTGTGATTTGCTACATACATACATCCATCTTAATTTGTTGCACGCTTCAATATCTTCTTCAGAAACAACACAAGTAATCATTGAAGTTAACATTCTCATGTAAATTCAGAAATTTCAAATCAAATAGAAACACACTAAAAAAGCAATGGCTTGACACAATTTAACTCATAATTATATTCTTACAATATAGTAAAAAAGATGATTAAGGTTCTTTACGGTATTTTCAAACTCTAAAGATTCCTTGCAACTAAATTTTATTCTACTTAATTAGCACGTATTGAAAACAAATATGGTGTAAAAAAGGTTTGGAATGTTAGCACTACAAGAAATGTTACATATAGTGACATACAAAAAGTGTCACTATAGGTATAATATATATAAGTATATGTCTATTTAACATATAGTTACACACATTTTTAGTGTTGATTTTGAATGGGATTTACCATGTTTTGTGTGTCACTATAGCCTACACCCACACTTTTTAATAATATACCAACATATATTATAGTTATTATGTGGGTAAAAGTAAATTTTAGTAATATGTATATAGTGTCACTATAGGATGTGTGTCACTATATGACAATTTTCTTGTAGTGTGATTCTTTTTTATACGATACTAAATTAGGATACTTAATTAAAATTGATTTTGCATAAAATATAAAAATATATTTGTGTAAAAGATTTAAAATGTAAGATATGTACTACTCTAAGTGCAATCCACCTCTTATTGCCCAGTTCAAAAACAAGGAATATATTATAATTATTGGATAAACAGTAAAGTTAAAAAAAAAAAAAAAAAAAAAAAAAAAAAAGACAAGAAAAAGAAAAAAAAAACTATTTATAACAGGGAAAATATTATTGCATATATGTGTAAACACCTTGAGAAAAATCAGAAGAAAATAAAGATAAGTTATTGATAGAATTAATGACAATTTTTGGACAACCAAATAAATAAAACGCTGCATTGATATTTTTTTATTTTTTCTTTCATTTTTTCTATTTATTACACTCATCATCAATTGTATAAGTATTGTTCAAACATCTTTTTTCTCGTCAATATGATTATTGATGATGTGATATAATAATGAAAAATAATAAAATGAGAAATAAGAAATATTATTTAAAAATATTTGTAAATTATAAATAGACTTAAATATATTTTTAGTCCCTCAAATTTAAGACAAATTTATTTTTGGTCCCTCAAATTTAAAATTATTATTTTTAGTCCATGTAATTTTTAAAAATCTTATTTTAGCCTCTTAGGTCACCAATAACATATTTGAAAGTGACTAATTAAGATAGTTATACAATATCAACCGGATTAAATGTGATATTTTTATTAATAGAGACATTAATATAGATTTTATACAATAATATTTAATAAATTTCTTAACAAAATTTGAATATAAAAATTAAAATAAAATTTTTTAAAATTATAAAGATTAAAAATAATAATTTTAAATTTAAAAAACAAATTTAAGAGATTAAAAATATATTTATACGTGAGTAAATATTATGATCACTTTAGTAAACAATATAAAATAAGTGTTTGGTGTTGGCGAATGACAGTGTCTCTTACTGGAATCGTTTAGTCAATTAGTCCTCTTCTGCTGGTGTTCTGGCTTATTCCTTCCTGAGTACTAATAATTTGGTGTCAAAATCTGGTACAGTTGCAGACAACATATTCATTAATTATTCGGTTTCTAGTTAATGATTTCACTACTAACATTTGTTTTTCAACCCGTAATGGTATGGCCGTCTCTCGGTGTAGTTCATAGGTGCGACCATATCATGTTTAAGGAGAGAGGCCTAAATTTTTTTTTTTAATTATATAATTGTTGGATAATCTTTTGTTATTTTTTAAAAAAATTAGACTTAATATCTTAATATATTTTTAGTTTTGATAAAATGAATATGTTTTAATTTTCATTTTATGAAAAATTTCTTTATTTTTATTATTTTAACATTTATAAATATTATTTTTGACTCTATAAAATGAACAAACTTTTATTTTGGATCTTATAAAATATTTTTTTTCAATTTTCATCCTTTTAAAATATAAATTTATTATTTTTTTTATGATCTTTTTAAAATAGATAAATAACATTTATTTCAAAAATTTATAAAAAAAAGTTGAAGTTATAACGCGTTGATATGATATATAAATAGTTATAGTATTATCTAAAATGATCAATTATAAGTAGTTCAAAATGATTATATAATAGTGAAAACTAAAAACATAATTTTAAATTTTTAGGAATGAAAAATAAATAATTTTTTTATAGAGACCAAAATCAAAACTCTTTCATTATATCGAGATTAAAAATGTATTTAAGGCACAAAATTATTATTTATATATTTATTTTTTATATGTAAATATGAAATTTTTATATGATTATAAATTCTTTTTATTTTTATTATTATATTTTTAATGTATTATATTTATAAAAGAGTAGAATATATTTTTGGTCTCAATAGAAAATTTCAAGTTTAGTTTTATTTTTAAAATTTCTTTTTTTTTATTTTGATCTTTTTAATTTGGTGATGCACCATTTTTTTTTATGTTTGAAGTAATTTATATAGCATCTTATAATAAACAATAATATATAAGTAAATTGAATGAAAAAAAAATGTTTTTTAGATTTGTTAACTTATGTTATTCGTTTAATTTAACAAAATATGTCATTTTCTTAGCATAGGTCATTTAACTAGAAAATAAAATTTTTATATCTCAAAAGAAATATGCAAGTCATATTTTGAAGAAATTCAAAATGGAGAATTCAAAGCCAATTTTTATGTCAATTGAAGAAAAGTTAAAAGTGACAAAAGAAAATGAAGGTAGAAAGGTGGATACAACCCAATATAAAAAGTTTGATTAGAATTATGAGATATTTGACTACAAGGTAGAAAAGGAAATTCTTCGTTATATCAAAGCTGATAAGATTTTTTATGCTAGTAATAATTGTGTGAAACTTGCTGGAAGCACATATAGTAATTGAGCAAGAGATATGAAAACAAGAAAAAAGCACATTAAGGTTTGCATTTCATCTAGGTAGTGGTGCAATATCATGATCTTCAAAGAAATAACCAATTATTACACTTTCTATAGTTGAAGTCGAACACATTACAACAACTAGTTGTGTTACACAAACAATACGGTTGAGAAGAATTTTAAAAGTGATGCACCAAAAGAAAAATACTCCTATAGAAATATTTAGTGACAACAATTCTATAATTGCATTAAGCAAAACTCTTTTCACAAACAATCTAAACACATTGATGTTCATTTTCACAAAATACAAAAATTGACAAATGATAAAGAAGTAGAGATTAAGTATTATCTAATTGAAAAAACAAGTAGCATATATTTTTAGAAATCCATTAGCATAACACTCATGTTCTCGAGTTCTAGTTCAGGTGTGTGTTGAGGTTCTGTGTGGGCAAGTGGGTTCAACCTTAAAAAGAGTTATTTTTCTAAGATTTCTTGAGGGGTGTGAATAATCAATTTTATCCGGACTCACAAAAGTGATGAAATAGACATCTACTATGAAGGGAAGGAGCTCCCGAAACATGCCGACAAGAAGACAGGACTTTAAGGGCCCAAAAGCACAAATTAAGTTTTTTTTTTTTTTTGTAAGTATTTTTTGGGCCCGGAACGGGCCGTTCCAGAATCGGAACGGGCCGTTCCAAGGTCCAGAACGGGCCGTTCTAAGGCTCCAAAAAGGCCAAAAACCCTAATTTGGAACGGGCTGTTCCGAAATTGGAACGGGTCGTTCCAATATTGGAACGTCCGTTCTGAAAACGGAACGGGCCGTTCCTAAATCTGGAACGGGTCGTTCCAATATTGGAACGGCCATTCTGAAAACGGAACGTGCCGTTCCTAAATCTGGAACGGGTCGTTCCAAGGCTGTTCCGGTCTAAAAATTGGGTTTTATTCTCAATACTGGAACGGGCCGTTCTGATTTCAGAACGGGCCGTTCCAGTATACGAATTTTTCACACAACGGCCATGTCCAGAACGGCCGTTCCGATTTTGGAACGGGCCGTTCTGGACCCCTTCCCGAAGTCTATAAATAGACCGCTGGGGTTCATTTCTGAGGAGGACCCGAAAAATTTCGTCCAGTACTCTTCAGAGCTCGA